ATAGTAGGCCCGCCCACCCCCCATTTTCTTGGAAGGTATGTGATTTGCCAAAATCAGTCTTATCATAGCAAGTACTAGCCCCATCCACCCCCTCTTCTCATTCTAATGTCTAATTTTATTTCTTTTCAGTATAAGATCATTCATTTCATTCAGATCGGATAAAATCAATCACTGAAAAGGAGACAGGGTGGGTGGGCGGGGCTAATTATGTTCTTCTGTTGAGTGGGACTAGAAAAAGGATGTGAAAAAAGTAAAAAAAAGCGAAAATCGCAACTTTTTTTGTTATACTATTTGCTATAAAATTTATTTCTTATTTCATGCACCTGACCTGATTTGGCCTAACGTGACTTCACTTGGTCTAACTTTTCTATTATCTCAAATGAACAAATTTTAAATATTTCTGTAAATATATAAAAGCCACAAAGTGCATTCTTAAAATAATCGTATTTTGTCAAACAAAAATTAATGATTATTTCCTTTTTTTATCTACAAAATTTTTATTCCGAGCTATTTTGACGGAACTATAAAAAGGCGCTTTTGAAAAAACGGTAGGAATTTCCGGGGGAATTAACCCGAAAATGACTTCTGGATATCGAAATCTATAAGAAAATGACTTCAACTATTTCGAAAATAGTTGAAAAATGGTCTAAAATATCAAAAGTGCCAAAATCAGTTTTATCTTATCAAATACTAGGCCCGCCCACCCACCCTCTATTTTCTTGGAAGGTATGTGATTTGCCAAAATCAGTCTTTATCTTAGCAAGTACTAGCCTCCCCCCTCTTCTCGTTCTAACGACTAATTTTATTTCTTTTCAATATAAGATCATCCATTTCATTCAGATCGGATCTAGTCAATCACTGAAAAGGAGGCAGGGTGGGTGGGCGGAGCTAATTATGTTCTTTCTTGAGTGGGAGTAGAAAAAGGATGTGAAAAAAGTAAAAAAAGCCCCAATAGTACCTTTTTTCGTTATACTATTTGCTGTATTTCTTATTTCATGCACCTGACCTGATTTGGCCTAACGTGACCTGACATGGTCTGACTTTTCTATTGTGTCAAAAAACAAATTTTAAACATTTCTGTGAATATATAAAAGTCACAAAATTCATTCTTAACATAAGTGTATTTTATGAAACAAAAATTACTGATTATTTCTTTCTTTTTTATCTACAAAATTTTTATTCCGAGCTATTTTGATGGAACTGTAAAAAGGCGATTTTGGAAAAACGATAGAAATTTCCGAAGAAATTAACCCGAAAATGACTTCTGAATATCGAAATCTATAAGAAAATGAATTCAACTATTTCGAAAATAGTTGAAAAATGGTGGAAAATATAAGGTCATTCATTTCATTCAGATCGGATAAAATCGATCCCTGAAAAGGAGGCAGGGTGGGTGGGCGGGGCTAATTATGTTCTTTTGTTGAGTGGGAGTAGAAAAAGGATGTAAAAAAGTAAAAACAAGCGTCAATAGTATTTTTTTCAGTATACTATTTGCTATATTTCTTATTTCATGCACCTGACCTGATTTGGCTTAACGTGACCTGACTTGGTCTAACTTTTCTATTGTCTCAAATAAACAAATTTTAAATATTTCTGTGAATATATAAAAGCCACAAAGTTCATTCTTAAAATAATTGTATTTTGTGAAACTAAAATTAATAATTATTTCCTTCTTCATCTACAAAACTTTTGTACCGAGCTATTTTGACGGAACTGTGAAAATTGCTATATTTCAATTGGCGATTTTGGAAAAACGGTAGGAATTTCCGAAGAAATGAACCCAAAAATAGTTGAAAAATTGTTGAAAATGTCAAAAATGCCAAAATCAGTTTTATCTTATCAAATACTAGCCCCGCCCACCCACCCTCTATTTTCTTGGAAAGTATGTGATTTGCCAAAATCAGTTTTATCGTAGAAAGTACTAGCCCCCCCTCTTCTCATTGTGACCTGACCTGACGTAACCTGACCTGACCTGACCTAACCTGACCTGACCTGACCTGACCTGACCTGTCCTGACTTTTCTATTGTCGCAAATAAACAAATTTTAAACATTTCTGTGAATATGTAAAAGCCACAAAGTACATTCTTTAAATAATTGTATTTTGTGAAATAAAAATTAATGATTATTTCCTTTTTTGTCTATAAAATTTTTATACTGAGCTATTTTGAAGGAACTGTAAAAATTGATATATTTCAATTGGCGATTTTCGAAAAACGGTAGGAATTTCCGAAGAAATGAAGTCGAAAATGTAAAAAGTGCCAAAATCAATTTTATCTTATCAAATACTAGGGCCGCCCGCCCACCCTCTATTTGCTTGGAAGGTATGTGATTTGCCAAAATCGAACTATGCTAGCTAAGATAAAAATGATTTTGGCAAATCACATACCCTCTAAAAAGAGAGGGTGGGTGGGCGGGGCTAATTAATACCTGCTACAATAGACCGATTTTGGCAAATGACATACACTCTGAGAAAAGAGAGGGTAGGTGGGCGGGGTTTGTACTTGCTAAGACTAATTTTGGCAAATGACATATTCTCTAAAAAAATAGAGGGCGGGTGGGCGGGGCTAGTAATTGCTAAGAGAAAACTGAACAATATTCTTTATAGTTTGGCAGTCTAAAGGAGAAACTTGTTTATCATTTATAACATTTAAATCATTTTAATATAGAATCTTTTGAGATGACGGACATTATTAAATTATTAGTGAAGATAATTAGCCACATTTGATGTGATATACCTAAAATACATACAAAATCGATCAAGTAGTTTCAGAGATATTTGTCTAATACAAATTGACAAAAACTACAGGCGACACACGGACGGAAACGGGAAACAACTATTTTGTACTCTAGGGGTCATGACACGTCGAGAGAATATGGAAATAGCAGTCGTCCGATGGGCTCGATTACAATACTTCCTTCGTTTATGCAGTTTACAGAGTTCCGCCACATTAAGAAGAACATTGATAAAATATATAAAATGGAGTGGTAATAATGAACTCATTTCATAAATCATTGTGATATGTTAGGAGATAAAATATTGGTAAAAGGAATAAATTTCCATTCATTAAAATAAAAATTACCACTCGCTCAGTCGGGAGTGTTCAACCGAAAAAGTCGTCAAGTTGGCGTTGTTTCTTTATAAGAAGAAAACGTAGCGACAAACGTACGTGTTTTATTAATCTATACTGTTGTATATAATTCACATTTGACAAAGGTGTTAAAAAACGTTCATTTTATTTCCCCCTTTTCGCCCTTTCGCGTAATCTAAATTTCAAGTTTATTGTAGACATAGTTCACAATGTTTACAAAAAATCAAGGCTAACTTGATGAGTTTTTCACCTGAACAACCGATATATGTACGTTTTGACCAAAATTCACGCATATTTACCTGTGTTAGTAGTTGCTAAAATAATATCGATTTTTGCGAATCACATAATCTCTAAGAAAAGAGAGGGTGGGTGGGCGGGGTCAGTACCTTTCCAAAATCCGTCTTATTTTGGCAGGTACTAAACCCGCCCACCCGCCCTCTATTTTTGTAGCGCGTGTCATTTGCCAAAATCAGTCTTTTCCTAGCAGGTACTAGCCCCGCCCACCCACCCTCTCTTTTCTTACAGGGTATGTCATTTATCAAAATCAATTTTGTCTTAGTAGATGCTAGGCCCACCCACCCACCCTTTCTTTTCTTAGCGGATGTGTCTTTTGCCAAAATTAGTCTTATTTTAGCAGGTACTTAGAAAATAGAGGTCGGGTGGGCGGGGTTAGTAGATGCTACGATGAGACTGATTTTGGCAAAGGAGATACTCTGTAACAAAAGAGAGGGTGGGTGGGCGGGGTTAGTAATTCCTAAAATAATATCGATTTTTGCAGATGACATAATTTCTAAGAAAAGAGAGGGTGGGTGGGTGGGGTCAGTACCTTGCCAAAATCCGCCTTATTTTAGCAGGTACTAACCCCACCCACTACCCCTTATTTTCTTAGCACTACCCCTTATTTTCTTAGCAGGTACTAGCCCGTCCCAGCTACCCTCTCTTTTCTTAGAGATTATGCCATTTGCCAAAATCAATTTTATCTTAGTAGATACTAGCTCCATCCATCCACTTTCTCTTTCCTAAGATAAGACTGATTTTGACAAATGACATACCCTCTAAGAAAATAGAGGGGGGGTGGGCGGGGCTAGTACCTACTAAGAAAAAAGTGTTTTTAGCAAATAACGTATCCTCTAAGAAATTTAATTAAATTATTATAAGAAAAACACTGGAGACTCTAATAAAGCACTTTCAAATTATTTCCAAACAGATCTTCAAGACTTCTTTGAATTTAAAGAAAAAACGGGATCCCAAAATTAACTCAAAAACAGGTCAGGTCAGAATTTTCCTAAATAAAACACCAAAGTGTCCCAAAATTGTTTTAAATAACTAAAAAGAAAATCTCCGCGGGCTCCCAAAATACATCATGGGTACCCAAGAGTCTCTCCAAATAAAAAAGGCTTTTTCAAATTCGTAAAAAATAAAACACTAAAAGCTCAATCACAATTTTTGCTGATTTGAATTTTATCAAATTATTAGGAAAATAACACAACCATTATTATCTTTGTACATTCTACGTGAAATACAGAGAAAACTATTCTTATTTTCTAACAACTGAACCGGTTGCCCAAATTCTTTAATACACCCTTTATCTAAGACTAGAACTTTATCACATGTCAAAATTGACTCCAGTTTATGAGCAATAGTTAGCACCTCTATTAACAGAATTACTTTTTAAAGTTAGTTATTTTTTCAAACCACCCCTATACAAGAAATTTTAAAGAAAATCGAGTAAACAAATCTTTTAAAATGGAAACCCAAAATCCTGATTTTTTAATTCCTTATCTTAAATGGAGACATAAATCAGACATTAAAAATTTCAAAATTTCTTTCACTTTTACATTAAAAATATAGTAAAAACTTCATAACTGAAGCGATCTACGAGTAAAAAAATAATAGTTTAGTTTTCTTACCATTTTTTAAGAACTGAGGTATCCGTGACGCTCATGGTCACCTGAAAAAAAAGAAATCGAGTATAAATAATGTTGTTCGTAAATCATTTAAACAGAATTGGCGTCGCACAAGGAAAAAAATACAATTTCTTAGATAAATTACAAAACTTGAATCCGCAAATTATATTAGAGCATCGTTTTTTATTAGTTATTAGTTAAACATCCTATATGGTATTGTTTTGACTGTAATCTGTCAAATTTGGACTTTGATAGGGACACAGTAAAATGTATATTTGGTTGCATAATGAAAATTTTATTTTCTAATTTTTAAAAATTTTGCTGATCGAAAGAATATTCAACTACCATGATACAAAAATTGTATTATTGCGATCATGTAAAATTTGAAAAACTAGAAATATTCACACTAACTCCACAGGTGGACAGTGGCCAAAATATAAAATTTACAACCTTTTAAGTGGAACATTGGCTGAATGACTAGCTACTCCTTACAACCGCTTCTAAATTAAACATTCGTAACTGTTTGAACAGTTTACTACGTGATAGCCGGCAACGTCCATCCACGTACTGTGCTCCGACTGTGGCGCCATCTAGCGTTTTCAGTCCCGACCTTAATTTTGTTTCAGACTGCATTCAGACTCACATTCCCGAGTTCGCGCTTTCCTGATAATTCCCACAAATAATTGGGTAAAAGTTGCAGCCGTCCACCTCCTCGCGCCCGCCGTTCTTCGCGCCCCCCGCCCCCGCCCCGAACTTTGCGCGCATTTCCATCGCGGCAAAAAGTTCCGATTGAAACTTGTGTCAAACATTGTCCGGCTCTGAAAGGAGACTAAAATGACTTCTTTGCATGTCACCATTGACAACAAAAGTTGTCTATTGTTTAGCTAAACAATGCCATCATATCTCCTTGGTGATGAAAGGATTCCGTCCCTGTCTGGCGTCCGTTCGGGCCGTAGCGCCGTCCTTCCCATTATCGCAGTCTCTTTATGTATGGCTCGATGCGGCATTCAGGACATAACAATGGGAAATGCGGTGACATTTTTATCGTGTGTACATAGAGGATGGAAAATCCGCGAGCTGCATGGATTTGCGATCGCGCTGAATCGCTGAATGTCACTTGCTTCACGTATCCTTTCACAAAAACAGTGGACGGACGCCGATGTGTGGGGGTTTATTGTGCGAGGTGGCGGCGAGCTGGAGGCGGGCGGGCGGCGGACTCTTGAAAGGAACAGGTGGAAGGACGAAAAATTACTTTTTCTCTAGCCGTCTTAAAACATGACACAACAAATAATAATAATTAATCTCAAATTATATTTTTTCGGCAATTTTGAAAATATTAATAATGTTGTTTAATATTTTATAATTTTATTAATAATTAAACACATTACGTCATTTCTAAATTTTAAAATTGATATTAAATGTAAAATTCCACCCTCCGTGTCTTTTGAGAGATACAGTGTCACCTCTAGCATTTACAAGGAGAGTGGCAGGCCTGCAACGTAAGCAATATCCGCTATATTCATTGGGATTTTCCAATTTTAAAAAATTAGGTACTTCTACGCTCTTAGTTTTGAAAATTTTTCTAGATCTATGCCATTTTTTATATTTAAACTCGCTTTTACCATCGAATATTGCCAGTGTTGGGCAGTATCTAGATACTTGCATCTAAATAAAGTAGCTAGATACATTTTTGGGTATCTAGTATCTGTATCTAGATAAAATCGAATTTAAGCACAAAATATCTGTATCTAGATACAAAATTAATGGCGCAGATACAGATACATTTTTTTATTTCACTTTTTTTTCAGTAGTTATTAGTTGAGTTATACTAGTAGTAATTTTTGATTCTTCATGTTGGTGATGTTGTTCACATAAACAAAAATAGAGGTAAGAGGTCCACTAATAGTGTTCTGTCACGGAAATTTTCATATTTTAAATACCATCATTTCCTACATTGTAGCCTTCAGTACTTATACATCTTTAAATATAATCCTGAGGGGTAATAAATCTAAGCCATGGTAAGAAGGTATTTTAAAAACCATAAACCACAATTCACTATTCACTGCGTTTTACGCTTGTCGGGGCAATGCATTTTATCTGTGTACCTGAGCAACCCGGGTCCGGTAGGCCCGCTGTTTGTATTTGTGTTATTAAATAAGAGTAATTTTGTTGGAGCGACACCTAGTGTCGGCCGTGCGAGGCTCGCTCGTGTAGTCGCCTTCACGAGGCGGCTATATTGCGCAGAGCGACACAGCGCCACTTGGAGACGCCATATTTTTAGACACTTCTGGTACGACCGTCCGCGTGGCTACCAGCGCGACTATGTTACGCTCGTCGAATATTCTCTTGTAATGTGCCATAATGTAATATACGTTAGTAACCGATTCCGTGGTGTTTTCATTTCCGCCAACAGGTTATGGGCCCAGAGCGCGAATAAACGGAATCGCGTATATTCGAAGGTACTGAAGTGTGTGCACGTGTTGTGTTAAAGTACGCCGTCAAGATGAACGCCGGAAATTCGTCGCGCATCGAGTTGCTGCGGAAGGACAACTTCGATACGTGGAAATTACAAATGCAGGCGGTGCTGATCAAAGGCGACCTGTGGGAGTACGTGAGCGGTACTTGCGTCAAGCCTGAGGCAACAGCGACGAACGCGGCGGCCATTGCTGAATGGGTCAAGAACGACAGCAAGGCGAGGTCGGATATTGTGCTCTCGATCAGTCCGACAGAACTGAAGCAAATAAAGAATTGCGACACGTCCAGAAGCATGTGGCTACGCCTGGAGGAGATCTACCAGTCGAAGGGGCCTGCGAGAAAAGCGACACTCTTGAAACGCTTGATCTTATGCAAAATGGACGATGGGGGCGATGTGCGCGAGCATCTGCGCGAGTTCTTCGACTCCGTGGATAAACTGAGCGACATGGACGTCGACATCAATCCGGATCTCCTGGCCATCTTACTAATTTACAGCCTACCCGCGAGTTTCGAGGTTTTTAGATGTGCGATCGAATCGCGAGATGATTTACCGTCGCCGGAAGCGCTGCGCTGCGTGGAAGAGAGCGACGCGCGCAAGAACTGCGCACGCGGCGGAAGCGGCACGTCCGGCGCCATGGTCGCCAACAAAAATGGCGGTTGGCGGGATAACAAAAATGGCGGCTGGCGGGAAAACAAGGAGAGAGCGGAAGCTGGCGGAAGTCCCAACGGAAGACGGAACAACGGGGGCTCCAAACTTCGCTGCTTCAAATGCGGGCGACTAGGGCACAAGGCATCAGAGTGCCGGAGCAAGGAAAGGAGCGCGAAACACGCAAGGAACGTATGTTTGCGAATGAGTGAGCGCGAAGAAACCGCCAACTCAAGCTCGGACTGGTGCCTGGACAGTGGGGCCTCAGCGCATTTGTGCAATGATGGGGGCCAATTCACGAAGATCGATAGATCGAAAACAGGTATTTTGAACCTCGCGAACGAATCGTCTACCGCGACATTGGGTGTTGGTACGGTGCAGTTCGCGGCTCGCGTGTTAGGCGAAACAGCAAACGTTTCGTTGAGTGAGACTCTGCATGTGCCCGATCTGAGGACCAATCTAATGTCCGTGAGCAAAATCACGGACCGCGGACTCGAGGTTAATTTTCGGCGCGACGAAGCGGTGGTAGTGGATCCAGACGGCAACGTGCTGTTGTGTGCGGAACGAATAGGAGACCTATACTACGTGAGCGGACACAAGCATGATGCGCGCTCGGCTTGTGGTGAGGACAAAATTCCGCTCGGACTGTTGCACAAGCGATCGGGACACGCGAACGCGAGGGACCTCGTCGAGGCCATACGAAATAATCGAGTGAGCGGCGTCCAGCTGAAGGATTGTGCGGAGGCGGTTAAGTGCGACATCTGCATCCAGGGGAAGTTGTCCAGGTCCCCCTTCCCAAAGTGCTCTAACCGGCGCACAGAGCAGCTACTGGACCTGGTGCACACCGACGTCTGCGGGCCGATGAGGACGCCATCTCTCGGAGGCGCGAAGTACTTCGTAGAGTTCATCGACGACAAGTCCAGATGGTGCGAGACTCGATTCCTGAAATCGAAAGACGAGGTGTTCCAGGCCACGACGGAGTACTTGGCTCTCGTCGAGAACCAGACGGGGAAAACCGTCAAGTGCTTACAGTCGGACAACGGCGGCGAGTACACAAGCCGCGACTTCGACCGGTACCTCAAGGCGCGAGGAATTACGAGGAGGCTGACGGCGCCGTACAATCCGGAGCAAAACGGCACCGCAGAACGGAAGAACCGCACGCTCCTAGACACGGCCAGGTGTCTCTTGATTGACGCCGGGTTACCGGACTCGTTCTGGGCGGAGGCGGTTAACACTGCCAATTACCTGCGAAATCGCCTGCCCACCAGATGCCTGGGTGGTGGAACCCCGTACGAGGCATGGACCGGTAAGAAACCCGACATCACCAATTTCAGAGCTTTCGGCAGCAGGGTATACTACCTAGACAGGCGACCGGGGAAAGGGAAGTTCGACCCGCGAGGAGAAGAAGGCGTTTTCTTGGATTATGCCGACGAATCCAAGGCATACCGAATCTGGTCACCAGTAAAAAGGACCGTACTGATAAGCCGCGACGTCGTGTTCGTAGAGGACGACAAGGAACGGCGTCACGTCGACAATCCTGCTCAGACCCAACGGAGCAGAGAGACTTCGCCGGAGGTTCGGCGTTCGGTCGAGATCGTGCACCCTCCTCCAGCTGGTGGAGCGCCGCCGGCGACGGTCAACGACCCGCGGAACGTCATCGAGGTCGAGGTCGAGGTCCATCGCCCCGCCGACGTCCCAGACGGCGTCTACGCCGACGGTGAATCGAACGATAGGTCGGAGCGGGACGTGACGACTGCTGAAGAAGATGACGAGCGCGACATCATCGACGATGACAACAATGCGGATCGTGCGAGGGCTCCAGGTCGCCCGAGAATTGTAAGAACAGGTCGACGTGGCCGACCCAGGAAGCAATTTCGGACGGTGCCGAATCCCGGTGCCAACATCGTCGATGCCATCGAACAAA